CTAGTAAATAAAAATATAATGCTCAAAAGATATCCATAATTTGCTCATTAACACTGTTAACTTGTTGATCATAGACATTGAATAATCTCTAACAGACAAAACTTATATAATCCTTAGGAATTAAATCAAAATTAGCAATATTTAGCAGCTCCTTTAAGAGTATGATCAAGTTAAATGGCATCGAAAATTTTATCAAAGGAATGTAAACTAATATCTATAAAGTATTCATCAAAAGCCACAAATTTTTCAGGGAAAGACCCAATAAAATAGATAAAGCAATATTAGTTGAAATGGTGAATGTCAAAGCAGCTGAAGCCGAGCTAGATAATGTGCCTAACATTAATGCAAGTGCTATTTTTTAAATTTTACAAATATTTTCTTACTTGAATTCAAAAATTATGGTGGAATTTAGGCATTCATTTGATAACTTTTTGGCATTATAGTCCCATTCTGTATTGTTCTAAAATACTGCATGCTAGTAAATTAAATCTAAATTCTATCATATACCTATAAGATTATATCATTAATATTTTACATTCGTACAAGATATCAATTTAGGCTTTTCAAATTTTAACTAAATTTTCATCGAATTCCTAAATAATTAAATGCTTTCGACTTCTATCTTTTAATTAGCATTCGAACCTTCGATTAGTTTAACTCTAATAGAATTTTTGCTCTTTGTCAAGTTTACATTTTCAGTTATCATATTTTATCCAAATTATATATATGCTATCCCATACATATCTATCTTTAAAATATAAGCTTTAAAAACCTTTTTGCTTATTAATTTGTTGTCCTAAGTAAGAGTACCATTTTCTCTCTCAAAATCTTCAATATCATTAAGGGTGTTGAGGAAATTTTTATTTAATTTGTGATCAGGCATTTTAAACAAAATTTCAAATTCCTATGTTTATCTTTAGTATTATGTTTCTCCGATTATGATTAAGGTCAATGTATATTCATCTAATTCTTCGCTCTTAGTATTTAAGATGATTTTCCTCTCAATTATGTTTTGAGAGATTTTTAGATAACTCTCAATATCACTGTAATCGATCAAATTTAGACTCATTATCACAGGGCCGCATTCAAAATCACTCATTATCCATTTATTAAAAGTGACAGTTTGTTCTCCAGAGCCGATGCTATAAACTAAATTGTTTTATTTTTTCCTAATCATTTATACTTCAGAACAATTTTTCATTATTCTTATTTAGAATTACGTTGAAGCTTGATTTTTATTGTATTTATCAAATGCTTCAACATTAATAGTATAAAAGCCTATTGTCTAGGTATTAGTTGTATAAACTGTTATAGTACGAGTAATATTATTTATAAGAAAAGCATTTTCAGTAATGGCTGATAGTTATTGCGCTTAATATATTTGATGAATTACTCCTTAGCATGAATATGTGTCAAAAGTAAAAGAAGGTATTTATATTGTGAGAGTTTCTTAGCCTATTACATATTCAAAATTATTAATTTGAGCAGATTGAATGCCAGTGCAATTAGTTTTTATTATCTTTATTTAAACATTTGATTTATAAAATGCCCTATATGAAGTTCGTTAAGTTAATTCAATCATAACCATCATCTGGTCATTCGCAGTGTTATAATCTATTTCGAATGAAAATTTGTATATTCCTGTATCATTCACTTTGGTGATATCTTTTTGGAATTAACCATTTGCATTATCAGATGTTATGATCATTACTTTATATGCCATTAAAGTAAAACAATCAATTTTAGTTACATTAGTTTGAGGGCCAGCTATTGCCAAGGGTAAATCATAGTCGATTTCATACAGAAGGACACCCTACTCTTTTTCAATTTAAATTTCAGCATACTGGCAAGAATTCATGACATCGAAGGAATAATACAATTCTCCTATACCATATTATAACTCATCATAAACAATGATGTGAATTTCCTCGCTCAACTTTTGATAGGAAGGATCTGTGTTGGAATAAATAAGGCAGAAATGCGTTTAATTTGTATTACTTTAGAGAGTAACTAAATTTGAATTCTTATTTATAATTTCAGGATTCTGGTTATCTACTGAGTAGTGATAAGTTCTATTACATCAAATATTAGTTTACCAATTCTTCAAACACAGCTACATTGTGTCATCCAGCCCAATTTGATAAATTTAAGCACTTTTTATTACATCATTCTTAGTAAAATTGCAGACTACAATATATCAGAATAATTTAAAGTCATACTTATTGATGGTTATAAGATCAGTTAGATCATAATCTCTTTTGACGCCCATTGATTTGATACATTGAATTTTAAGTTAAAAATCTTCTCTTAAATGACATTTTCAAGTGCCCTACATATAATGATTATTTAAAGAGTTAACTTACCTAATTACTACAATTTTACTAGTAGTATCAAATAATATTTAAGAATACTTATCATAGTTTTCATTTAGGGCACTTTTTCCCTCAACGATACTTATATTGAAAGAACAATTGAGGCCATCGTAAAACCCTGGAGTATAAGTGAAGGATTAAATACTTGAGGTCTCAAGCATAATATCTTAGCCCATATTTATTGTGAAGTTTACAAACAAACCTGGTTTTCTGCAATCACTATAAATATTTAACTTCATATCAGGGATTTTAACTATCTGAATATTTTAGCAATTTGGAGTAGCAGTTTAGTTTTTCTCTTCAGAAGATACCCTGACACACAAATTATTATCATATACAGTAAGTTTTGCCAGCTATAGACCTGCTAAATTATGGTCACCAACTTTTAGTTCAATTAAATCTCTATCAACTGTATAATTAAGTGATGCCGATGGAATGGAAATAAATTTAAACTCATGAATAAATGGTGCTGCTTTCAAAAAACAATTTTATCTTTGGTATATTCTTTATTCATTAGCATCTACATGCATATCTTTATAAACAGAATTAGCAGCAGTAAGTCCATCAAATTCCATCTGGATTTCTTATTAAAATTTTAGTTCACTCATAGAAATATTGCTGCTTATGCTGATATATCCAGTGAACCTCATATCATCAAAAATTAAGATCTCAAAATAGGGCGAGTTTATTGTTAAGTTTGATTATAATATATCTGTATCAGTGTAAATTCCAAATATGTTCATATGGTCGTAATTGCTCAAAAGTAAACCTGATTTAGCTGTTTATTCAAATTTGTCGAATTTTTTCATTCCAACAACATAGCCTGCGAAGAAAATATGATTATCTTTCCCTAATACAGCTGCTGTTGAATAGAACCTCCCAAGATTAGAAGATATTCTGGGCTTATAATAAAAGTAAATGTCAGTTTTTAAATTTAATCTTAAGTGCCCGTGCTTCGTTTCCGGTTAGGCTGAGCTGTAAAGCTATCTAATAAATAGATAAATAATGAAATTATACCTGACTCCGATTATCAATGTTTCATTGTCACTTAAAGCTTTTAAGCTTTCGCATCTGCTTATTTTATTTTAAATATGTCCAAAATTCCAAATTAATCTATTAAAAACTTAATAAAAGAAAATATACATATTCTTTGAAGAGGAATGTAAGATTTAGTAGCCATTACTTTAAGATAGTTTTGATATAATCATTTTTTCCCCGAAAAAATTTGAATCAGCACACCCGAATAAAAAGCCTCCTGCATAATCAAGTTGCCTGTAAGACATTACTTAATTACTAAATGTCAAGGGATCATCAGATCCTCTTTCAGCAGGCAGAAAGTTTGGAATTCTATAGCTTATATAAGAAGTTCATAATTCAAAATGGATATCAAATATTAAAATCAGAGGAGAGGCATATTGGCCAAAGGAGTCACTATCATAAAATTGTGAAAATCCACCAAAAGCTAAAACTGATGAATCGTAGTTTTTGTAGCTCAATGACGAATGTCCTGCTGAATATTGAGTGTCTAGGAAGAACTATTTTGTTGATCTTCCAGTATCCAGATTGTATTAGAGAATTTGAAAAGAGCCATCAGTTATTGCAAAATTTACTCTTTATAGTTAATCTATACTAAAACTCCAAGTTTAGAATATATTTTATGCTGATTTGATTTTAAATGACTTAATCACCTTCCCTGTACTTGCATACTAAATATAGAAAAGTCCATTATCCAATAATGTAAATATCGATTCTTGATTAGGATTGAATTTAATTTCTACCACTAATATATTATATGGAGATTAGTCCAAGATGACATCCCAAAGTACTAGAATTTCAGAGTCAAGCATCATAACTATTGGATGAAAGTTAGTATCATCTGTATGAGTGATTTTCTAGGATTAAGATGCACCACCTATTGCAAGCTATAAAATGTAGGTTAATGGAACGGATATAAAATTTGCAATTAATTATCTTACTTAATCATTTAGGTTGCTATATGCAAGAGAAGAGAAAAATGTCTCTCCTTTAGGACCTCCTACTGTAAAAGGAAAATATTGCTTTCCGCAGGTTAATGTTGATACGAATTTGAACTGGTAGAAATAAACG